CTGACATATTGACAGAGGAGACACTGTGATGTCCAGGCCTTGCACACAGAGCCTTTGACATGCTCCGTGGGTCTTCCCCAGAACACCTTCTATCAGAATCCTGTACCTCTTAGGCTGCCACTGCCACCGGTTTATTGCCCACCTCCCCACTTTGGTGCTGGTGCAGGAAGTTAAGAATCTGGTCTCTGGCTTCCACACCTGCTCCATGGGCTTGGGCTTGTGGCAGGTAAGCAGTAAGGGCTGGCAGTAGAGGAGTGGTTTTGCTCTCTGACCGGTGGCTGTTACTTCTCCAACAGTACAATTCCTGCAGCAGGCCTGGCCTGAGCCCCAGTCTGACGGATACCATTTTGGATGCGAGAGGGCTGGAACTAGAGTGGAGGCCATGAAGACCCAGTAGTTCATCCATTCAGCAAGAGGGGCATCTACCCCTGTATCCTGAGCTGAATGAGCAGGCTTCAGGCAAGCAAGGATGCCTGCATCCGGGGAAGCAGAATGGCAATGCTTCTTCTCAAGCAGGACTGCTTGATGTGGGTATCAGCGCTATTCCTGACCTCAGCTTAATGTGAGCTATTCGCACTTCTGGAGGGCAAGGCCAAAGCCACACTTGCTTATTTTCTGAGTCTACATCATCCTCAGTGCCCAATACACTGTTTTCTACCCTCCCTCCTGCTAGCAGGTGAGGAGCTGTTTTCCAGTCTGGACTAAACAATACCCCAACAGATCCAAGCCCCACATCTTAGCATGGTGAGAAGAGAGTGATTCCTTCCAGAAGCACACACAGCAATGTGCAGGTGTCCTTGTGGCTCGTAGGTGGCATCTCTGAAGGTGCCCCCTGTGGGAAGGGGAAGGAAGCCGTGAAGAGAGGAGGGGCCTTTTCCCTAAGACTGGAGAGTGCAGATGAGGTATGAGCCACCGCCTGGTGGGCTAATTCAGGACCCTTCCTCTTCCGTTTCCAAATGCCTATTTGTTTCACTCAAAGAAAACTGGAATTTATATGTGATTGCTTCCTTTTTCTTTTATAGGAAGCCCCTTCATTTTGGCAAGCTACATGCAGCTCAGATGCTACATGATCCCCTTAAAAAGGAGGGAATCTCAAGAGACCACAAAATGCATTATTGTCTAATCTAAACACCTCCATCTTTCCCAGGGCTCTGGAGATAAAAGCCTGGGTTCCCACTGTGGTGGACAGGGCTGGTCTCACCCAGCTCCTCTTCATCTCTAGCCAGCAGCAGGCGGTGTCACCATCCGATTCCCTGTCCCCAGCTCCTGGTCTCCTGGCAGCAAGGCCAGAGCCTCGTCAGAGGCCTGTGCAGTGCTGGGTCCTCTCCTTCCACATGCTTTACTGGCTGTCCTTCCCACTCTTCCTCTTGGTCCTCTCTTATCCCCCATGCTCTATCTTCTTGGCTCCCATCCTTCACTGACTCCTCCCGACCTGTGAGTGTTTAATTTCCTGGTTGGTTGGTTTTTTGTCTGTTCCCCGCACTGGAGTAGAAGCTCCGTGAGGACAGGATGAGCGCTGGCCTGCCTGCACGTGTCATGTTGGAAGGGGTGTGAGGAGCTCTGTTGGAATGCTCCGTAGTTCCCCTGGGTGTCCAGGTGAGATGGTCCTGGTACCCCAACTCTCAACAGAAAAACGTTGCAAAGCCTAGAGGAATCTGGGAGACTCATTTTTTTTTAAATACACATGCCGCTTGTTTCCCCTTTCACACTGGAGAGCACACCATTTGCCATTATGCTAACGAGTCTTTGCTAAGAGGGCTCACACCATCTATGTTTGTTCCCTCCTGTAAATGCCTGAGCTCGGCCCTCAGCCCTGAGAGCTGAGAGGCTACAAGAAGGTTCTACATGGACAGGTGCCACTGAGCTCTGCTCCCACAACAACCCCCAGACACCACACTTGCCGAAGAGTCATTTCCCAGACTAGTTTCAAATGTTCACTATCTAGAGACATAAAACACACACCCTCCAAGGCTCTCAGTAATTAATGAGACAAGCCGTAAGAAAAACCCCTCTGACCTGAATCAAGCAGTAGAAACCCCGGCCCACGCGCTTACCCGGGACATAGTCCATGCCAGCATCCGCAAGGCCTCTGGGTCCCATCTGTCAGTGTTGGCCGCAGGTTAATGTTTACAGGGTGAGGACTCTGGAATGCGGGGATGAAGGCTCAGCCCCAGTACGAGGGGATACGCTTGTCTCCTTTGAGCCACTTACAATACTCGATTCTTTTTTGATTCTGAGGCTTTAATGGGAAAGCAGTTGTTCATTCCCCTCCCCCCTGAGTCAGTTTTGGGGCTCAAACTTCCATGAACCAACATTTTAAGCATTTGCCACCCAATGGCCAGCTCAGTAGCGGGGAAAGAGGAAGGAGAAGGAAGGCTGGTGTGTGGACGCGGGCCATTCATGGAGGAAGTGGACATGTCACCGAACGCCATGAGCCACACACCTCCCCCAGCACCGAGAGGAGGAATCCCGAGAAAGGTCTCTAACTTTTGGATATCTCCAATGTCCCAGTGATTTACCCGGTGCAGATACATGCTCTCCTGAATCCCCAATCCTACTCTCTCAGGGATGCCACGAAGTAAGAGAACCACAGCTCTGCGACGGTCCCAGGGCAGCCTGGGAAAGTCCACCATGAGTGATGGACGACGGGAGCGCGTTGCTGCTCCCTGGCCTCCCTCTTTCTGCTGGCTTTTGTGATTAATTCACCCACTTGCTTAGGAAGTTGCTCTCCATCTGAGAAAATTAAAAACACCACTCTCTGGACAGGAATGTGGGATCATAAATGAGAACCAAATAGAAAAAAGATTTACGCAAAGCACAAGCTCAGCAAAAGAGAAAACTTGGAAATTGCTAATAAGGTATAAATCAAATGAAAGCTATTAGCAAAAAAGAAGTGGGGGGGGTAGGAGAAAAGCCTTTTAGATGTTTTGCTGAGCTCTTAACCATACCATTTCTACCTGAGGTACTCAATATCTCCAGAGCAATTTGGCTCACAGCATTCTGAACCTCTGTGAGTGCTTGCCAGTGTGGGGCACTTTACAGAAACAACTAGAGCATCAGAGAGCATGTCTGCAGAATTCTAGAATCCTTAGGGATGGAGGGACTTTCTGAGCTGCCCCCCCATAATGAGCACATACTAAACAAAAAGGTTTGTTTAATATATAAGCAGATAAATGGATGGATTCGAGCAGGTAGGATGGACGGATGGTTGACTGGTAATGCAGTTTACAAACAAGCCATTCAGGGCTTCCGAGGTTGCTCATCTGCCCGTGTTGATAAAAACACTGCATCAAACTTGGGATGATCAGATGACTCCATTCCAGACCAATGTTCCTAGCCAGACACTCCTGACCTCTGTTGTTTTCTTTTTACTAAGGCTTGGCAGCCTCTTGACAACCAGGGGGATGAAGCAGAGTGACGTTGCTGTGGTCACTTCATGAGTTCATCAAGGATGAGAGGACAGAAAACCAGCAGCCTCCCTTTCTGACTCCACACAGCCCGTTGCCCAGGGAAGCTGGCTGTCTCTGGGGCCAAGGGATGGTGGAGCCTGGAGGCACCTGCAGGACGGAGGCCAGCCTCACGCCTTCAGAGGAAACTCTTGGCTCTCAGTGTCCAACCATGGCTGTGCCCGTGCCCAGACACCTGCGTGACAAACTCAGCACATCCCATTTCAGAGTAGCCTGCCCTGTGCTCTCTGCGAGGTCTCACCTGCTAATGGTGTTGCTTGCTCTAAGGTATTTCGCTTAGAGGGATGTTCTTGGATTCATCACAGAAATCAGAGAGCAATGTCCTTAATAAGGTCTTGGTGCACACCTTTGAATTATGCTTCAGACAGATCGTTAGTAAAAGAGGCCCTGAAGGTTTTGTGCTTGTGGTAAGTGCAGTCACAAGGAAGCAGCTGTTTTCTGGGAGAGGGCACCCCGTGATGATTCCTGGGGGGGGGTGAGGATGGTAGGGTGTGGGCTGTGTGGCCCAGCTGCCTTTGTTGTGAGAACAACTCGATGTCCTGTAAACTATTTGGCAGTGGGCCCTCAGGCTATTGCTTGCACGAGCACAGCTACGTTCTTTGACAATTCCTCCCTCTTCTGAGACTTTCAAACCCCTTCGCCAGGTGTCCCCTCATGCCAGGCTGACCCTCTGTTAGTCCTTCCGCCATTCAGTGAATATTCACCTCTGGATCCCACGTCTCCTTTCAGCAAAGCCAAAGAGCAGCGTGGCTGGGAAAGTTCCACATTAGTAGAGCATCATGGGTTTCAAAGTTTAATACAACAGGATGGCACTGGGTCACTAATGAGAACTGTTGCACGTGCAGCCCACAAGCTCGTGGAGGTATCAGAACACATCTGAATCTCCAGTCACTCCAGGCTGCATCTACTCCCATTCTCCTGGGTGGGTGCCAACACTGGAGCTATCTCCTTAAGTCTAGAGTTTCAGAAGGCACTGAATACGGAGGGGCAGCTTGATTCACCCAAGCAGAAAAACCATTTCAGTGAAATGACAGGGTGTCTGGTAGCATACCACAACTCTCACCTGCCCCCCCGCCATTCCCCCCCCCCCAGACATGGCCCAGAGCCAGCCCCAAATGAGGAGGTAGCTCTTCTTATCCAGCCTCTCTAGGACACATGACTCGTAGCTCTGCCACGGGTCTGCAGGGCCCAGGACAGGCTGGCTCCTCTTCTGGCTGTTGAGAGGTGGAATAGTGTGTTTCCCTCAGACACTGGTGCTGGGACTCTGGGATAATTTGCTATTTTTAAATGAACCCAGCACCTATGCTACCACTCCCCGGGGACAGACCAGCCCTCATACCACAGGACCTTGCAGGCTGGGCTGCCTGGACCCCTCCAGAGCAATGCCACCCACACTTGCTGTTCTGTTTTTGAAGCTTTTATGGCTATTGTGATCAGACAACCAGTGCAGCCCCGTGCCTTCGCTCAGCTGTTCCTCTGTAGGAACGTTAGGCTGCGCACAGCTCTCGGGGCCGCGGCAGCCTGCGCACTTGCCTGGTAGAAGGGTTCATGATGCAGCCTCCTTTGTCGGCAGCCGTTTTGCAGCTGCAGCCCCTCTCCAGCGTGTCATGGTTCATCCCAAAGTTGTGGCCCAGCTCATGTGCCAGGGTCACGGCTGCACCAAGGGGACTGTCTGAATGGTCCTCAAAGAAAACAGAAAGGGCACAGACATAAAGTTCACATCTGGTAGCTCTTTCACCCCTGACCTTTATCCCTCATTGGTACTTGTATTAGTGCCAGCAAAGGGCCAGTGTAGGCTCAGGCCCTGTTATTTACTTTGGGCTTGGAATGAATAATTCAACATATTTTGTTAAGCCACTTTGGGGGTCTCCTGTGCTGGGACTGCATTGCTCATGCTGACACAGGTCAGACTCTTCATGTCCATGAGGCATAATCTAGTGCTCTCCACCCTGCGTCTTTCAGCGTCTTGCCAAACATCTCATTGGATAAAGGATAGAAGAGGAAGAAGCTCCTTCCTTCCTGGGAAATGGAAGAACCATTTTAGCCCTGACTGAGAGGCTGCTGGTAGAAAGCTGCTCAGAGGAGGCATGTCTGATGGCATTCTAAATAAGACGTGAGCAGCCGTGACTCACCATCTACACAGCGGGTAGGTTCTGCAAATGCTCACACTTGGTCATGGTAACTTCAGACCAAGGAGTAGTCTACTTGAAGACTCACTGAATTAAGATGATAGCCCAGTAATCGTACCCGTTTGCTGGCCCTGGTGTGGTCATGTCGGCCGTGGAAATGGGTGGAGGTTCCCAGGTTCTCTGGTTGTGTGGATGGGGTTTACCTGGCAAGTCCCACCTGGCTAATGTCCAGCTTAATGGAGTCCTTGGATGGCTTGGCTCAAATAGACATTAGAAATTAACTAGTCCATAGTTATTTAATTTCAAATCGATTGGATGTGATTTATAGAAACAGTACCCACGTGTGGCCTGACCACAGAAGAATGAAGGAGGCTGCCTTGTTTCAGCCTTGATTTGTGCTATATGTGAAAGAGATGAAAGATTTTCCAGGAAACCATAAAATATTACATTGTAGAGTAAATATTGTGTTATTATCAAATATTATTGATAAGACCAATCTCTTCGATAAAGGTGTGATCGTGTACAATCTTGTAGATGAATCGGTGGCATGGCGGCTCTAGCTATCTTTCTCATGGGCCCTCAGTCTAAGAAAAGAATGGCATGCCAAGGAAGCAAGTTATTCTTAGAATAGATGAAATTCCTAATAAATTACTTTGTTTAGATTTTACAGTTTCCTGTTTTAGGAAGCTCCACAAATATGTTCCAGGAAATCAGCTCTTAAGAATAACACACATTGGTGGAGAGAATGTAGCCAAATCTAAGGATGTGGAGGGCTGAATTTAGCATGCTTCAGCATAAAATTCTTAAAGAATACTGCTGATTCCTTCTATTACAGAATATCCCAGTGTCATTTTTAATTACGAAGTTATTTTGCATTTTTTTCATGTGTGAACAGAATGTCCCTTAAGAGACTCCAATACTCCCCTGGGATAAGGGAAACATATAAGTATTCCTGATATCTCCAGATCAAGACTCTTTCAGGCCAATTGGATACAAAGATAAGGCTTTAACTTTATAAAATTAACAAATCACTCTATCTTAGAAAATGGAGAAATGCTGGTCTCCTGAATTTTATAGAAACTAAAGGTGCTGTGTACTACTTTCAGCCTATCTGGTGTTCCTCTAATAGGTGGAATAAAACCAGACTGGGATGAAGGATGATGCTCACTGCTCACAAATTAATAGGGCCCATTTCTTATTAACTGACTCTAGTCTTGGCTTGAATCTCAAGGCATCACACACAATTCCCATCTATTTCCCACATTTCAGTTAATTTTCATATATCCTGTGTGTGTGTGTGTGTGTGTGTGTGTGTGTGTGTGTGTGCACGCACGCGCACACCAGTATTGGGGCTTGAACTAGGACTTCATGCAGTCACTTTGATTTTTGGATCAAGGCCAGTACTCTACCACTTGAGCCACACATCTATTTCTGGCTTTTTGGTGTTTAATTGCAGGTAAGAATTTCATAGACTTTCTTGCCTGGACTGGCTTTGAATCGAGATCCTCAGATCTCATCCTCCTGAATAGTTATGATTACAGGCACGAACTACTGGCACCTGGCTCATGTATTTTTTTTTTTAATACAGGCTTCCCTATATGCATTTACGGAGGGAATCTCGGTAAGGTGCCTCCCAGGAGCCATGAGCGCTGAAGGAAGCCATTTAGTGCTGTCACCTGGGCATTGCCATAGTCCCACATCACAGCAGGATCATGTGGCTTGTGAAGAATTCAGTTTCAGCTCTCAAAACATATTGAGATCAATTTTAAGTGGCAAAGTCAGTAGCAACTGACCATGGAAGCATGAAACTGAAAATTATTCCCTCTTAAAATTTTACCGTGTGCTCTGTAAAAACACAGTTGTGATCTGACTTGCAATGAACTGGCACCAAGAAAAATCAGACTTTCCATTGACTTCCATAGAGGAGATCACCCACCAGGTTCTATGTTCAAAAAAGCTTGTTCAAGCCAGCAATTCAGTGAGTGGGTGCGACCCGTGTGTAGCGCATGCTTCCATAAATTACCAACCACTGCACCCAGACAAGAGGAAAATGTTTATGTATAGTCACTAAAAGATTAGATTAGGCAGTATGTGGAAAGAAAATAATAGTCAGCAGAACATAACTCCCTCAGCCCTTTCCTACAACTGAATATTCAGAAATGTTCTGTTTGAAAAGCGTGGAGGCCCTCACGCTGTCTTGGGAGGGTGAGTCTGTGTTTAGTTAATGGGGATGGAACTAGCTCTGAGGATACTTCCTGTCTGTGAGCTCAGGGTGGGCAGAAGATTTTCTGGGCAGAGACTTCAGAGTGTGAAAACCGTTCTTGAACTATCTGAGGGTCTACAGAGGGACACCACTGCTGGGCAGTCTAACAGAGTTCCCTTTCTCTTACACTCATCAGAAGCCCCAAGTACCTTTCCTGTTTTATAGACCTCTACAGCCCACATGTGACAAAGTTACCCTTTTAAAGCAATAGATGTTGGTTTCTTCCTTCCAAGAATAAGGTTATGATAAAGACAGATTGTACGCTGGCCAGAAGGTATGTAAAATATTTGCACTGGTACGCAGTGAAAAACCTCAGACTTCTGACTGTTGGGCTTGGAGTCAGAACCATCAGAAAGTCATTTGAGTGGTAATATTTGGTGAGACCACAGTTCACCCAAAAAAGCCAAGTGCTCAGGGCAAACCCCTATGTCCTGGCTCATACCCGTGCTACGAAGAATTCCCGAACTGGAATGCTTTGACCGAAAGTACAAGTTGAAATGTTTTTTTTTGTTTTTGTTTTTGTTTTTCCATAAGAGGAGCAAATTCAGCCTCTAGGAGCTGTTTTTTACATGTCAATTTTCCCTGCATGCACTTTTGTGTTTTCTAAACAGTGCCTGAAATGGTGTGGGAAGCAGAAGCTGATGAACACAGCTAGAGTAAAGGCAGGGTTAAATCTAAAGAGCACTGAAGGGCAGGACTACTTCACAAATTCAAATGAAAACAGGGATTTGCCGGGGAACCATTAACCGGGAAGCCAGCTCTCCCTGTCCTTGGCATCCTTGGCTCCCTTGACTTACCATGACAACTCCTCCGGACTGCTCTGCCGTGCACATGCTCATGATGGGCGCCATGCCGATGGTGGTCCCTTGGAAATAAACCCCACTAGGAAGCAAACAGAAGGACTTCTGTGAATGTCATGTAGAAGAGTGACGTTTTCTAACATTTCACACTCTGCCAGGCATGCTTGAGACAGAGCGCAGAACAGTGAAAACAGCCACAGGAGGCTGCGTTCACAGGTGACTTTTAGCTTTCTCTCTTATGCATCCCTTTTTTTCCAGTTGCATCGCGGTCCCATAATTCTAGCAGAGTGTTGTCGTTTAGACTCATTCGTTTGTGTTTATAAGCTCAAAGCTGCCTGATTCCTGGTAGACTGAGGGAGCTGCTGGTGGACAGGCCGAGAAGTCATCCAGATCCTCTACGAACAAAAGGAAGTGCATTGGAATTCCGTAGCTGAAATCTGCTTTCCTGTGTAACTCATTCCAGTTCTGCCAGAGACTCAAACTCCTTCAAAGTATCCTGCCAATGTAGCTTGCAAGATTGAAATGACCAGAAAGGCGATGGCTTCTGGGATCCAGGAAGTATGAGCAAGCCCACGTGCAAAGCCCCAGGGAGGAGGCATCATGAGGAGGCCTTGCTGTAGGCGTCCTCTGCTAAGAAATCTTAATCCAATCATGAATCTAATAGTGCTAAGGGTCTGTTTTATACAAGGGCTATTAATTGTAATCTCATGCACTAAAATTTCAGTATAGCATTTGTTGAAATCTGTAAAGGAATCAAATGAGTAATTCTTCCTATACTGGTCCTACACATATATAGATAGTGTACAGATTAAAAAGTGAAGTATTTTAGCTGTGGCCCATTGGAAAGAGCTGACAAGAGTATATAATGGCCTGTCTGACTGTCTGTCTATCCCAACACGGTCCTCCCTTCATGAACATGAGGACTGGCTCTGGGTAAGCCTCAGGCTACTGAAGCCCATGACTACTCAAGTTCCTCATGTAAAATGCTGTATGTACTGTTTGCATGTTACTATGTACAGCTTTTCAGATAATTTAAATAATCTCTAGGTTAGCTGTAATCCCTAATAAAATGTAAATACTATGTAAATAGTGTCTATCTTGTTTTGTTTAGGAAATAATGGCAAAGATAAATGTCTGCACATGTTCAATACAGATGTGGTTTTTCCCTAAGCATTTCTGGTCTTAGTGTGTTGAATTCACAGATGTGGAACCGTCAGATATTGAGGGCTGACTGTATTCAGTTTATAGCAGTAGGCATTTCAGTCTTTATGCTACATCTAGATAGACTAACGGATGCAATCATATATGTAATGGCACCGGATACAAGCAATGATATCATAAAATGAATCATTACATGATACCTGTAATGAATGTATATACATAATAAGGTTAAATAAGATGTTAATTGCTTTTCCAGATGTTCAAGTTGGACAGATTCCTTGGGAGGGAAACACTGTAACAAGACATTCTGACTCAGAATACATGGAATGTACTTTTAATAGTTGAGGACTAATCAATGCATAAAATACGAGGAAACAAAAATATCTAAGGGGAGGACTCATGTAAATGGCCAAAGTAAATGACTGGGGACTGCCAACAACCTGGGTGTACAAGTTGGCACTGACTAAGGCAACGATGGGGCTGGACCAGTTTTACTTCCCATATGTGTTCAATAAACAGAGGGGAGCACCCTCCATTCTTGAAGATTTCACGTGAGTGATCCAAGCTACACAAGAACAAAAGAGCAGTGGAATAAACTGCTTTAAGATTCCCATAAACATGTGTCCGTTCCTGACACATTTGCTTTGTATCGGTGCACACTATTATAAAAATACTCTCTTCATTTAAATAGAGAAGTGTCAGAAATATCTCCACATTGTTCTGTTCTGTTAGAACTCTATGTTCCTGCATTTATATCTTGTGACATTTACCACTTGGGCATTGTCTTGTGTCCTGCGGCCCTCTCTTAGTTGACTGGAGACTCCCCATGCGGGAAGATGTAAGTATTGCTCACTATCATACCTGAGTCCTGTCAATACTGTCTGGTTCCTAACAGGTACCTGATGCATACTGATTAAAGAAGAGACACAGGCTAGTGAGACTGCTAAACCAGTGGCAGACCTAGCCCAAAAAACTAGGGAGTAACAGCTTGAACAAGGGAGGCAGTTATGCTTCTCCAGGCATGTGATAGTGTTCACCCGCGTGTTTTGCCCTTACATCATCTGACACAAATATGTATATATTCATATATTATATGTTTACATAGAAGAAATACTATAGCAAAATATATTCTATATTATTTATACTTATTATTTTTATTATATTGTATATTTGTAGATATCACATGTAAAAGGAAAGAAAATAAGTCTTTAAAATTAGTCAGTTCTGGACAACTTTATATCAAGAGTAAGCTGAGAAAAACTGGCAGAGAAGCAAAAGTCCAGGTTATTGAAAGGGGACTGGGGCTGGGTCTCCTGGGTGTCAAGTTGGACTTGTCCAATGGTTCCAGGGAACATGGTACTGGCCCCCACTGAAGTGGGCTGAGGCAGGGCCTCTTGTAAGAGCTGGTGCACGTTGAGCAGACGGGTTGGGCTCTAGGGCTATGTAGGCACAAGCAGAGCCAACACGTGCACAAGGCAGCTTTCTTTAAGCGACAGAGGAGCCTACCTGATGAGCTGGGCATTGTCGTGGGATTTGCGAGGTAGCAGCTTCATCTTCCTCCAGTCCAGAAATTCATGGAGGCTGGAGAATGGATCCTGGCTTATGGAGCATTTGTCAATGTCATTCCAGACCTCCACACCCACCAACACTATCCGAATGTTCAGCGGTCTGTAAAACTGAAGCAAACAGCCATCTTTGGGAGGGGAGTCATAGGGATGAACATTTGAACGGAAGCTCAGCATGTTCATTTCCATGCCCGAGAGAAGTATCTCAATGTGCCTTTGTTCCTGTAGCAATAGAATCTAAAAACTATCTGATGAATTGGTGCAAAGAGATATGGTCACCTGATTATCGAGTGGTGGACAATTAGATGCTCAAGTTATTAGTCTTTTTATGATCTGCCCATATTTGTATGGAAGAGAACATTTCCATTTAAGTGTTCACATAGACACTGCCAGTTAATATTCATTGCAAGAAAAAAAAACAATAAGTGGATCTGGATCATTCAGATAGGCTTGCCAAGATCAATAATTGGTTCCGTTTCAGCAACATGTTCTGTCTATGAGGTACTGACAATGAGTCTGGCTTAACTTCTCAGCCAAGAGCCAGCCTTGGCTGACACTCTTATGTTCTGTCGCCTATAATCAACGAGAAAGTTCAATGCAACGAACAAGTCAATATCTCTCAAGATAAAAAGGCGCAAGTGGAGCCTTTCTTCAGGAACTTTGTGACCCTTGCCCCACAGCCAGAAGTTAGATCAGCCACTGGGGGGAAGATCTGGGACCTACAATGCAGGTTCAGGCACACTGCTCTGTCCCTCACTTTTACATGGGTATGATTTCAACAACACCCCAGGATCCACAGCTGATCCTGGGTTGGGGAAAAGCAATTCTTCTAATGGCTGAGGGATGGTTTTTGTCTTGTGGAAGACCAGATGGGCAGTGGAGAGGTAAGAACTCTCCATGGCCAGCAGCTGCCTCCAGATCAAATCTGACGAGGATCAGATGGCTGTGTGGTCACAGCAGGGGTGGGGCATCTGGGTTATCCTGTTGCCTGACATATGAGGCAATGAGAAGATCCTTGTCCTCTGAGTCCCCAGGTAGCCAAGGAGAAAGTTGTGGCTAGGGGCAGCAGCTTGAGCCAAACTCCAGATGTGAGCAAGTTCTGTCATTGCTAAAAGCATCTGGCCATCAAGTAACGGTAATCATAGAATTAAGAGCATTACATGCTGTTCCAAAGTGCTGAGCTAAAGTGCAAGGAACTCCCAAAGGCCGAGTATCGACCCCAGATCCTGACCCCCCAAGGTGGCTCATGCGTCTCCTGAGGGGCCTCGTGGTCACAGGCAGAGCACTGGGTCAGCAGAACACAAGTGGGGTATGAATCGCGTCACAGGACACACCGATTGCAGCCATCCAAGTAGATAACAATGACAACATCACGTTAATAATTTGGAATAATCTTGCTCTGTAGTATGTTTTTAATCAAGAACAGCCTGTGATACCTTCTTAGAGTTTGGAGTCCAGGCTTTCCAGGCAAATGGAAGACACTGCCCTGAACAATGTGGGCATGTGTTTGGTGCTGTGTGCTTTGGGAGATTATGTCTTCAGCGGTGTCATTGCACAAAGAACAGGATCAGAAAGCAAAAATGCAGGAAATCCAGTGCACTGACTACGAGATGTCCTGAGTGTCAAACATCCTGCCTGGCTTCGGGGCTATCTGAGAAGGGGACACCAAGTATTTCTCAGGAGCTAAGGTCCACAAAGGACTAACTTGTCCCCCATCTCAGTGCTACTGTACAGCTTACTGGTGAATTAGGGACCTTTTCATAATAGTGAAGGTGCTGAGCAGACTTTATACCTAGCAGGATACAACGTTCAACCCCCTCTCTACACTTAGTATAACTGATACTGTCAGGAGTGCTGAACTTACATCAAATCAAGCACTGCTCAGGGTCCCTGTACTGCCCACTCCCAGTGTTTTTCTCAGGGCATTTTTTGGGCCAGTGATAGCGGTGACAGCTAACACATCACGGACATTGCCATGTCATGAACGCGTTTCAGGCTTGGTGCTGATAAGTTTTCGTATAGTCAAGACACGGAATCTGGCAGCTGCCAAGTGGCTGACTGAAGATCATAACTGCATGGCCCTGTGTGGACATTGGTGGGGTGACTCCAACAGCGTGATTTACATGGGCACCTGTATGGGAATGCAAGGATTCCTGGCTCCAGACCCACAGAACAGCTCTCAGGCCTGTGCAGAACAACTGGAGCTTGCCCAGCATCCAGCCCAGCTTGGGGATCCCAGAAACTATGTGCACACACAGACCCAGCTGGGTGAATCCCTTATTTACACAGTAGCGATGGATATTTGTTTAGCCCTTGCTATGGACTAGCCTTGGCTTGAGCAGGCAGAAGAAAGACTAAAATGTTCTTTATCTTGCTCAGCTGCTCAGCGGTCACCAGAAGGCTTACAGCCCAGGACACATCACCGTTTTTCCAGTGCAGTTTTAAAATGGTAGCCTGCCAAACAATGGTGTGGACAGGAAGTCCAAGGGATGCTGTGCTGGACAGCCAAGGAAGACTTTCTAGAAAGAGCGGATCTAAAATGACGGGGTAGAATTCCCTGGGGTCCAAGGAAGACTTTCAGGCCACGGGTTTGGGGGAGGAAGGAAAGAAGGCATTCATATGAGTGATGATTCCTAAATAAATTCAATACAGAGGAGTCCCAGAGCTGAGATGGAGCCTTAAAGACTTTCCAGTTGGTGCCAAACCCTTGACAAGAGGCAAGGATGGGTTAGAGGAAAGGGTTAAATAGAAGCTCCAGTGGTCACCTCCTGGGCAGGCACACACTCAGCTGTTCTGCTGAGATGTCATCAGGAGCTGGGGAGAATGTCTGGGGTTTGGCCAAGAAGCACAAGTATCAGACCTGCCTTTGGGTTCACTTACAGTGGTATGTCCCGCACATTTCAGAGTGTCACCTTTGTCACTCAGTCACTTCTCTGTTTCCAGTCTGGGCTGTCTTTCCTTCTTTCCAAGCCAAAGCAGCCAAGTAGTTATTAATTTAGAAACGGCCCAGCTGAGCCAAGATGTCAGCAAGTGAGGAGATGAGTGGGGGGACTTTCCCACATGGAGACGTGCAAAACTGAAATGTGGGATGCTCAGCATAGCCTGTGGGTATTGTCGGCAGACTTAGATACACAGAGTCTGCTAAGGAGCCTGGGTAGCTCCCCGCCCCCCCGCCCCTGCCCGCCGGGGGTACTGAGGGTAGATGAGGATGTCAGGGCTGGCTGTTTCTGTGTGCTTAGGAATCGTTCTGCCACTTGGAAACACAAGAACAGCCAGGCTGGCGCACGCAACAGAATCCACCAGGACTTCTCCAAGGCATATTGTTCTTTAATTACCAGTGCTAGTTATTATCAAACTCCCACTTGCTCATTTTTAGTTTTGCAAACTGAAGCAAGATAAACCCCAGAATAATACATAAAGACATATAAACACAGAGGGCCAAACACATCACTGTTTCAAATGGGGTTTCGGCAATTTCTGTCTTGGTTTTAATCTAGTTTACAGTTTCCTTTCACTCCCAAGGCCTGAGAAAAACTGATGCTCTTTCCTTCCCTGCAGACTGAGGCCTTCCAGGCAAGTCTCGAGGTGTTAGCTTGGGCTCCTAGGTCAGGTGGTTAAATCTCCCTCCCGTCTACCAGTGTCTCGTCCTGCACTGACATCACAGGAGCACGTGGATGCGGTCTGTGCCCAAGCCCCACCCAAGCCACTGAGATCAGAAGCCCTGGACCGAGGCCTGGGAGTCGGTACTCCAAAGAGTAAATACAAGCACAGCCACCTGGAAGAGTCTGACATAATGATAGTGCCAATATTCAGGTCAGTGTGAGAAGACTAGGTTTAAGTAGAGTCATCTGCCCAGAAAGCCCGGGTTCTGTCTGGTGGGAGGTGACAGACCATTTTCCTGCAAGCAGGTGGTGGAAGGATCACTTCACCAGCAAAGACGCCTTTGTTGGATGACATTCCCAGGGTCCTTTCTATCCTTGTGAAAGATATGTTTCCAGGTGTTCTCAACGAGGGGCTGGCTAACAGCTGATGAAGGCTTGGTGGTGAGTCGAACCACGGAAGGGTGATTGGCTCATGAGGGCTTTGACCTAATCCTTTCATGGGTTCATAACTTGATAGTACTAGTGGATGATATGACCATTACTGGCTTTCCTCTGGGAGGAGGAGATAGGTCACCGGGAAAGTGGCCTGGAGAGTGCTCTCAGCCACTTCCTGTCTCTCTCTGCTTCCTGACCACCATGAGGTGAGCAGCTCTCCTCCACCACACCCTCTCTGTCCTGATGTTTCTACCGTACCTCAGGACCAAAGCAACAAGAGCCAGAGGACGTACAATGGAAACCCCTGCAACCATGACCACAATACATTTTCCATTAAATTGTTCCTCCTAAGTATTTGTCACAACAATGACAAATAATTGCTGAGTTGGAAGTCTGTTTCAACGCTGCTGGGCAGTAGAATTCTGTGGATCCCTTATGGATGAGAGCTAGCCCCCAGGGACCAGCTGGAGTGTTCTTGCCACAGAGTTCTGAATTTAAGGGAATATAAGTCTAAGACACCCTGGTCAGCAGAATCTGGAGAAAGCTGTGCCCTGCAGTCCACCACAGTCCAGGCCACCATGGGTAGGAACCACATGTTCAAGGGAAAGGACACTGGAAGTCCCACCTAGACCCAAGGCAGAACTTGGTGTTTCAGATCAGTCAGATGAGGTACACCAAATCCTCTCCTCCCTGTTTCCAAACATTTACACGATTTGAATGGTTTAATTAGCTGAAGAGAAACTTACCTTGTCAACGTGATTAGCGATCTCTATTAAACGCTGCTTAACTTTTTCCAGATCTTTTCCTTGCCTCTGAAACTTAACAATTTTAAATGTCACCATTAATAATGGTAGGCATATCAATCACAACTCATCTTCCCAGATCCTAAAATGTAAAGTCTTGGGCTTTTGAAAACTACCCAAAGTCCTCTAAATTTATGATGAAATAAGCTCACATCCTGCAGAGAACTTTCCCCCATTGGGGATTGCCTGAAACTCCCTGAAATTCACCCAAGCCAAGAGCTTACATGACAGACACTTCTGCAATTTTTCCAGCCTCGCAAATGATGGAGATGGTGATGTGCTTTGGCAAAGAGAAAATACACAGCCAGAAGGTCGTTTGGAGCCATTTGTCATATCATCAACTTGATTTTAACTTCCTGAGAAAATTGCTTTATATTTGTTTTTAAAAATTAAACAGTAAAAGCAATAGAGGGTCATGGCAACATGTCAAACAATACAAAAGAGAACAGATAAAATGTTAACTGGGTTCTCTGTTCTCTTCTATAGTCTGACCTTCCAGGATGGAGCAGTTTTCTGAAACACTGTCAACCTTGTCTTGTACATGTGTGCTGAGTCAGTCTATGAAAAAATGGTACCTGAGTCATAATATGTGAATGTGACAATACATGAATATCAACAAGATAATCTAAAAAATTAATTCAAAGATAATTAAGAGAAGAAATGAACATAGGGCCAAGCCAATTCTCAAGACAGTAGGATTTCTCTGTTTTGTTTCTATGTAGCTTTTATCCATCTATCCATCCATCCATCCATCCATCCATCCATCCATCCATCCATCCATCCATCCATTCATTCAGTTTTAGGACACACAGACATTTAAAAAACTTAACTTTTCCCTAAAATGTTTCAGAATGCAATCTAAAATCACTCATCATTTACTCCAAAGAATTCTTATTCACAGAGATTAACTACAGAGAAACTTTGGCAGTTGTTTGTTGTTTTTCAGACTTTCCTATTGTTCGTACCATCAGATACTTTTTTAATATTCTTTAAAATTATAATTAATGAAATCAGAAAAATCACTTTTTCCATGGGTTCTCTCTTTCTTTCATGGGCTCTTTCTTGTTTGCTTACTTGCTTGCTTCCTTCTTTTTCTCGTTCTTCTCTTTCTTTTCTTCCTTACTTCCCTCCCTTCTTTCTCTTTCCCTTCATCCTCCCTCCCTTCCTCCTTCCCTCTCTTCTTTCTTTCCTTTGTGCTAACACCAAGGCTTGAACTCAGGGCCTTATACTCTCAATTAGCTTTTTCACTCAAGAGTAGTTCTCTACTACTTGAGCCACTTTGGGCTTTTTGCTGATTAACTGGAGATAAGTGTCTAATAAATCTTTCTGCCCTGGCTGGTTTCAAACCAGGACCCTCAGTTCTCAGCCTCTTGAGTAAGAAGGATTACAGGTGTGGGTCACCAGTGCCTGGCTGTTTCTGATGCTTTTTAAGAATGCATAGACAACTGTGCTAAAGCAGTAACTTGCTCAGTATTTGATTCTCTCTCATTCTCTCTTGCTTAAAACCAATAGCACTGAGAACATTCTAAAGGTTCTTACCTCTCGGTTGTCGGCGACAATAACCAGCTCGACATACTTGGTCATCTTGAGTGTCTCCCTTTTATGCTGTCAAAAGTAAACATGAGCTTAGCTTCCCTTCGCATCTCCCCACAGTTTCAGAGCATCGTCTATGTCCCCCTGCCCCCTCCAGTCTCTGGTATCCCCTTCCTCCACAAGTTAACCTCCAGCCCCAAAAAGAGCTTCGTGAAACCAGCCATCCATTTCTGCTTCTACTTGGGAAATCTTAAAAAGCTGTTTAACCTTCCTGCTGAATCACGGATTGCAATATCAAAAGAGGTCAAGGTCAGTATGAAATAAAATGAGCACATTAACACAAAACCAAATGAACACCCAATGTTCTTTCTAGAAGGGGAGAATCTAGCTACATGTGGCACATGTGACGATGACTCAACTCCAAGCTGGAAACCAGTGGCCCAAATGTCCCTGCTCTGAGATCTGAGACAGACAGGCAGGGCAGCGTACTTGGAAGTGGAACGGCAGGATCTGTGGGTAATCACTGTGGGGTCCACTCCTGGGAGTGTTGCCCTTGGAGCTGATCCTTTTGGTTTTTCAATTTTATTGTAGGATTGAAGCTGTAGAGTATCCACCTAGCAAGCTCAAAGCCCTAAGTTCAAATCCCAGTAATGCCAAGAAAAAAAAATTGTGTTCAAAGCAATGGAAGACTGGGGTGATCTGGAGAGAGGGGAAATAGCCAGAAACACAAGGGGGCAAGACATAAAGAGGCGAGACTGCAGAACAGAAAGAAACAGGAGATAAAGGAAGGAAGGAAGAAAAGAAGGGAAGGAGGAAGAGAAGGTGGGTAGAAAAGAAAGAAGGAAGTATGTAAGGAAGAAAGACAGGAAGAAAGAAAGAAAGAAGTCCAGCCCCCCAGGAGAGCTGGGTGTGGGTGGAGTGGAAAAGCGGGGTGGGGGGGTGGGGGGTGGGAAGGGGACTCACATCCCCTCGCACTGATGTGGAGGTCCAGCTAGAGAAACACAGACCCTAAACAAAGCAACCTCTGAAGTGGGTTACATTGTAATCAGGCTTCCTCACAGGGCATTCCTGCTCTTCCCTGAATCACTGGGAGGATCCCAAAGGCATTTTTGGAAGAAATAAAGCAATTCATGGAGGGTGGTCTCCAAAAAGCAAACATTAAAAACAAAAAGCAAAGCCTTCTGTTTCTGCAATAACCCACAGTTGGAAGAAGTTGGGGCTGAATGGGTCTCCCTTCCTCCTGCCTGGAGCTGCTGGTTATGACTTAACTACACTGACCGCTGGAGTTGAAAATTTGTTACAACTCTTTTCAGACAAAAGCAAAAAACTAACAAAACCAAACAAAAAAAGCCTCATCAAACCAAACCAAACCAAACAACAACAACAAAAGACTTAAAGCATGCTTTGAATCCCATTTCCAGTCCTATAATCTGGAGGGAGACATCTTTCACAGCACAATTCCCCATCAGTCCAGGATCTTTCCAAACAGATTTTTATAAGGAAAAATGTTTGTATGATAGTGGCCTGCCTCCCCACAAACTGCCCAGCTGTACTGATCTGTGGATTTAGGTGTCCCTGAAGAAATCTGCAAATCTGAGCAAGGAAAAATAAAGCACCAAGAAAGGTGGAATGTCTCATTCTTTCACAATGTTGCAAGAAAGAAAGAAAAATGTCCAGATGTTGTAACTGTATGTATCAGCAGGTTTTATGGTGATAACTATGTACTTAAAAAGGGGAAAAATCAGCCCCCGTGGGGTCCAGTGTGCAGGCAAAAATGAGACACTTCTGAAGTGTGAGGGGTCTCACCTCTTTTTAATTCTTACTGAGGGGGTGTCAAAGAAGGAGAAATCTTGCTTTGGCTCATGATCCCTCCACCTACCCTGAACAAATTCAGCTAATTATAGAGAAAAGAATACAGCTCTGGAAATGAAGAAATAAATTAGTTTTCCACTGAAGAACTCATTGAGGAGGCTCTGATTGTTGAGATTTTCACAATTTCAGCCTTGGAAGAGTAAAATCAATGGCCAAAGGAAGGATATTTCCAACTGGCCTAGAATCATTGTTTAGAAAATACACAATTCCAGATAATGAAAACAAACACATGAACACAATTTTCCTGTCTCTGCAGTTTTCAGAGAAGTCCACATTTTCTCATGAATTCAGAGAATTGCAAACTCAGAGAGAAGCTTAACCACATCATAATGAAAAGCCACAGGGGAGAGGCTGGTCACAGGCTTAAATTACCACCACATGATTCCTACCTATCTAGGCTGTCCAGTTTTCTTTTTAAATCATATTTTAATTTGTGATATGGAGAGCAACACTTGAAACTGGTTGCTTGACTGAATTTTCACTTTTGAACTTGTGGCAAAACAAAAAACACCCCCCCACCCCCCCACAAAACTCATCCCCAAAGAGGACCTGTGAGAAAAGTACTGCAGTCTGTCTTTTCTCCACAGAGGCCTTCTTCAAGAGTTACTCAGGAGGAAATCAGTTCCCCTGCTTCTTAAAGTGACCACAACCAAGTTCCCAGAGGCACCCTGCCCTCCAAACTGCCTGCCAGGGACCCTGGCTCTGATATCTTGACTCTAAAGTTAGGAAAGCAAGCTGAGAATGGGGTTACAATATGTTCTCATTAGACTCCTTCCTTCATATGGCCAGACCATTTGCATTCACCCCACATGGTCCACTGGGAGCCCCCAAGTAACCAGATGGGAAAGACCAAGGTCATTGCCCCTCAGGAAGGTCACCTTCTCTTGGGAAAAGGAGGAGGAACAAAGAATTAACAAGAGTCAATGTGGTGTGTGAAAAGTCCATGGAAGAAAACGAACAGGAAGCTGGGGGTTAGATATGACCAGAACAGCAGATTACCATAATATGGAATCTGCTTACACAGATAAGATGGTGGCTGGGTACCAGTGCATCCTGGGTACCCAGCAGCATCTCACTGCCCTGCTGTCCTCTGTGTACCCAGAAGTCCTTGCAAACATTTCTTCAGAAAAAGCTTTTATATTTGATGCACTATTTTCTATACTAACGGAGGGGAACCACAGAAGGGTTATCCCTAAAGAAAGAGAAATTCAACTGCAATTTCATTTTGCCTTTGGGATGTATTATGTTATTCTCTCCAGTAGCAGACTTTGCCTTTGCCTTTCTTACGATGCTTGCTCAGATAGATTTTTTTTTGTCTTGATTTCATAAAGGATGGAGAGGGAAAGGGTGAGTACAAGTGAGTTGTGAGCAGTGGGTGCTTTAGGCTGGACTTAAAATTCTCAGAGAGCAGACCAGGAAGTTTCTGTCTCTCTGCGCCCTTTCAACTTGGCTTTCTGCAATCGAATGCAGTACCAATGTGCCAATGACAAGCTATTGCTCAGGCTCCTCTTCCATGTGGAGTATACACAGAGGGTAGATCAATTTCTGATGCTCGGTGAAGGAAAATGCAAACCTCTGCAGAAGAGTCGCAGACTGTGCAGCCCGCTCGGCAACAGTTAATGTTGAGCAGGGGCAGGAAAATGCTGGGGCAAAGCAAATGTGTTCACTGTGCTGCATAAACAAGATTAATTAGCTGTAGTTACACTGATTTCTTTTTTTAGTATAAAATCAAGGCAGCAAAGTGAGACTAGTTAGCAGACTATAACTCAAAGATGCACTCTTCATATTTATCACAGGTGTTATCCAAAATATCCTCCTAGCTAATTCTAGCTCTGCATATTTCCTCCCTTTACTTAAAAACTATTTTGGTACCAGTTTCATTATCTTCCTGCTGTTTGGGTCACAGATGTTTTCTCTTGCATAAAAGCCTATCAGAATTATTTCAGAAGTGACAGGGAAAAGAGACTGGGTATCCAGGCCTTCCTTTTGCAATGTAAAGGTTCATTTACACTTCAATATGCATTATTAACCAAATAGTCTTGTTATTCAGTTTCTTTCCATTTATGTACAAACCAAAAGGACTGGAAATTATTTTGTCAATCAAAGTGTTCGAGGACTGTATGCTTAAAGAATTAAAATGTGGCTGGCTGGTAACTACAGATCAAGTTTGTACTTCTAAATGAAATGGCAAACCTATTTGAGTGTCATTTCAACTGTCAAGTTAAAAAATTGCATAACTCGGAGAGCAGGCTTTGGACAAGCGACTCACAGCAAAACAAAATGCAAATGTTCTGCTTTGCTGATGGCTTTAAAGTGACATCTTAACCACATCTTATCCAAGGGCTTGAATCAAAGGCAAATGTGTTTGCTAAATGAAAGGAACTCACATGGGACCACAGAGGTGGGTCTCTGTGATTCTAACTCTTCAATCCATCATTCAAGCAAGATGGGGAAAGAAAATGCTCCCCAAGCAGCTGGGGCCGCTGCCGCTGCCGCCGCCACTGCCACTGGGTATATGGAAGCTCCAGGCCCTGGGATTGTGATACAGCCTCCCAGGGCCTCTGCATCAGTGCCAAGGCAAGGCACAGCCCTGTAATGGGGCCCACTACGAGGGGAGTTCAAAAGCCCCACAGAACTGGGACCCTGGTGGCTCACGCCAGTAATCCTGGCTACTCAGGAGGCTGAGATCTGAAAAGCGCAGTTCAAAGCCAGATTGGGCAGGAAAGTCTGTGAAACTCTTATCTCCAATAAACCACCAGAAAACTGGAAGCACTGCTGTGGTTCAAAGTGGTAGAGTGCTAGACTTGAGCAAAAGAGCTCAGGGACAGTGCCCAGGCCCCATGTTCAAGCCCTAGGAATGACCAAAAAAAAAAAAAAGCCCACAGAAGGAAAACTTACTCAAAGAATGCATGTTAGATGTATGCTAATGTATGCTAAAATGAACCATTTAAAAGCAGTTTAGGGGAACGGACCCCCATCCCTAGATATGACAGGAAGCCCAGGAATAAACTGTGGAGACTAACACTAATGAATTCAGAGAAAGTTTTGAAGGACCCAAGATTAGTAGTCATAAAATGTTGAAGGCTAAGCAGTGGTCCACTCAAGTTAAAGTTGAGAAAGACAAAAATATGCTAAGAGAAACATAAAGAGCACATTGCAAACAGAGAGATGAGAGACATCTTCTGCTTGATTCTTTTCTTTTTTTCTTGTGTGTCAGTGCTGGGGCTTGATCTCTGGGTCGCATGCCTTTGCTCAGCTTTTATCACTCACTCTGGTGCTCTACCATTTGAATCATACATGCTTCCAGTTCAGCTTTTTACTAGTTATTTGGAGATAAGAGTCTCATGATTTGTCTGTTTCTGCTGGCTTCGAGCCATGGTCCTCAGATCTCAGCCTCCTGAGTAGCCTGAGTCACAGTCCAGTCAGTGCACCTCTGTGCCCATCTCTGTGGGCAAAGACTGAGGAGGAGACAGCAGGAGCCTACTTTACTAAGACACTCCTGGTTACAGAGCAGCCATGGATGAAGAAAGTTCAAGAGTTCATTTTCTTCCTTCCCATAGAAGAGCTCCTAGAGAGTGAGTCAGAGTCCACCTTTGTCTTGTGTGCCACAGTGGGCCGGAGCCTGCGTCCTGCCCCCTGCAGGTGTACCCTTTTTTTTTTTGAACTTGTTCCTGGTAATCTTTGGGGTTTGAATTCAGGGTCTCATGCTTTCAAAGCTGGTGTCATACCACTGAACTATGTCTCCAGCCTTGTTTTGCACTAGTTTTAGGATAGGGTTTTGATTCCTCCCTGAACTTGTGTCTGAGTTGTGATCCGCCTACCTTTATCCCTGGGATCACAGGCACACACCCCCTTGTCCAGTTTTCCTTCCTTGTAGACTTTTCTCTCTGGGATGGCCTCACACCATGATTCCCCCCCGCTCCCCACCTCTACACACACACACACACACACACACACACACACACACACACAATCTCAGCCTCCCGTGGACCAGGGGATGACAGGTGCACAGCACTGGTACACTGCCCCCAGTATATCTTAACGAGACTGGTGATAGAGCTCTCAGTCCATGATGACACTGGCCACATGGTTTCCACTGCTCCTGATAAGTGGGATTTCCATTTCCTAGACACAAAGTCCAGTGTCAGAGCTTCTCTGGGACTCCTGGCATTGGGTGTCCATGCCTGAAGCCCTCCAGAGACACGGGAGCTTCTATGTCCTTCTTACCCTTCTTGCCTGCATCTGGGTGCGTGCCGGAGACATGGCAGGCGTGGGGAGGCGGGTGGTGTTATGGTGCAATCCACACGACCCCCAGATGCCACTCAGGTCCTCTGCGGGGAAGAGCTTGCATCTGTTGGTGGCATTTTTCATTGGCTCTAAGATGTAGGTCTGGTTTTCAAACACAATAAGTCCCCTGTTGAAAAAGAAATGACAAAAATACTCATTTTTAACAACAGCTCCTTGTTGATGGTTGAAACATAGCTGTTAATGAAGGAGAGAAATATCACTTTATTTAGACTCTCACGCCTTAATTGGAAAGGGCATTTTCTGTGTTGAGGGCCTGCACACATTCATTTTGCAACCCAGAAAGGCAAGTCGGAGAATTTTTTTTTGAGTTTGAAATATTTTATGGTAAAAATAGACTGCATTTTACCTTCTGTGCTTTCTTGTTTTTGCCTTTCTTCTTTCTTCTGTCTAAAGATATATTACTAGGAAGAAGAGTCTAGAGAAAAGATGTCTCATTGCCGATAACTATATCTGAATTTGCAGACCCAACTCAGAAGGGAAATCATCCTTTTCTTTTTAAAAGATGATTCCTGCATCTAAATTATTTATCATGACCAGATATATTTCCTAAATATTTGAAGAGATTCAGATATAAGGAGGGAGGCAAATATATGTATATATATATATATATATATATATATATATGCATGGTATTTTCATTTATTTAATTTGTAAGAGATGTGCAAACACAAGTGCTCTTACAAATATTCAAAGCATGGAGCTGTGGCTTGGAGGATACAGTGTGCCTCCTGGAGGAGTGGATAGCCTTTCACAGGATCAAGAAACACCATGGCAAGGTGAGTCCAGCGGCCAAGGGGAGAGTTCCAGCTGTGCCACTTACCATCTGTGTGACCTGATCGTGCTTCTTAATCTTATCAAACCTTGTGTCTGCCACTAATACAATGGGGTTCACATTATAATGCTATTTATTGCTCAAAGTTTCTACACCATCCAATGAGAAATACCAGCCCAGGCACCAGGTGGTGCCTGAATGGTAGCAGCTCTTTATGAGTTATTCCAAAGATGGACAATTCTTCTTTAACTCATCTAGCCATAGGTTTACTGGCCACCGAGGCCTCCCCAGAATGAAGTACAGTATTGATGAGATCAGTATACTTCTGGGAGAACCAAGAACCTTTGAGCCAGCACTGAGGATTAGATGTAAATGAACAGATTTGTTTTTAGTGGACAGAGTTTCAAAAATGCTCTAAATGGCAGAGTCAGGGGTAGCCTTTAGCCACGAACCATGACCCTTGTCATGACTTTCTGGTGCTGAGGCTGGAAATGAGCAAGGATTGCCTGGGATCGAGCTTCTTTCACGAGGTAAGGAACCCTGGCGTAAGTGCTGGCTTTCCTTTCTCTCTCTTCCAACAAGAGACAAATGAGTCCTTTCATTTGAAAGGTGCTTGCTGATGCTGAGAGTGAGGTTTTCTGGGAGCAATGGTAGTTGGGCCAGAACTGTCATCTGCACAGCTCACACACACCTCGCACTTTCTACTGTTCGGCATGGCGACCACACCTTGGCCCTTTGAGAACACATCATGCTTTCATGGGAAGTTCATCTGGCTGTAAACGGACACGCCTGCCACAGTGACTCAACCTTGCTTGAGACTCGAACCTCCTTAAGACTTCCCCGATGTGATTCACGGATGCATTATGTATTAACCACAGAACTTTTCAAAGTATGTTAGCAGATCAGGCCTGAGAATGAGACAGACAGACTCTAGGTTCTGGGCTTTCAGTCTGACACTTAATTTATATTTGAGAATACCCCTAATCCTCAAGAAACACTCATCACTCCATTCACTGCCCTTTGATCATCCCAACTGATTTCCAAAGCAAGGACCAAGTAAAACGTTCCTATGTTGCTCATACTGCTCACCTTATTTCTTTGGTCATTCACTCTCCCTGTTGATTGATGGCCTACTGTAGGAGTCTATTAATAAAATGACTGAGCTTCCAGACTCAAATGGTATGGAGGACAGAAGCTTGAAACAGTCAGGTAGCTCCTTTGAATGGAGCTGATAAGCAAGTATACACTAGCCAACTTCCACTGGTTTAGCCACAGTCCTGTTTTGTATGTATCATAGGCATTGGAAGAAACAGATACCTCCTGACTGGGATAGTTGTATTCTGGGCAAGAGGACAGCACCAGAGAGGGAAAATGGATTAACAGGGAAGATCTATGCTCCATACAACCAGGAATCAGAGCTCTGGATGCTGGAGGAAGAGCTTGGAGTAACTAAAAAGGTTCTGGGAATTTTTTAAGATCCCACAGATTATTAAAAGCCATTGTGCGTACCTCTTCTTTTTCCCTTACAAAGTAGCAACTTTGAGTATCTCCAAATCAATAATTCAGGTATGACTCTACCATGTGGAATGTCTGGGTCCTTTTTGTTGAGCTCTTCTTGTGAAATCAACTGGACATTGCTAAGTTGAGGGTGGGGAACAGGAATTTGTGTTCATTAATGATATGGACTTTAACAAGCTTAAATTAAGAAAGAGAACTTGAAAGGCAAGGACAATTAATGTAGGAATCTGGATTTACAAGAAAATGGACTTTCTCACAGTAAAAAGAAAATAGCACCATAGCCTTTCATGTTGTATTGTTACTTTTCTGTTGTGCGTTTACTTAACTATCTAGTCGGGAGACTTGACAGTAAAATATGTCACCAGTGCTTGAATCCTGAGGAGGAAACTGCCGAAAAAGTTTTTCTACTTAGTGGAAAATTTCTAGAAATTGTTACTTGGTTATAAAAGCATTCTCCTATCTCTTTTTATCTTTTAAGTCATCCAAAGGCAGATGTGGAGAAATGGGGTGAAGGCCATCCCTTTGCTCCACAGAATTGGCAGCCTATGTACAGCATAATTAAATAATTGCTTTGGACTGTCTTGGGTATAATTAATCATTTAGCTCTAAAGCTTGCTGGAAACAACAGGGGATACAGAACTCAAGCACTCAGACTTTCCGAGATGTGAAAATGTGATGTTCTCACAGTCCTCCTGGCCCTAAGTTAGATAAGGAGATGCAATTTGTTTTAAGTTGAATATCATAGATATTTGGTTGTAAACTTAAAGTTGGAAGAATCTCAGAGTATGGAATATAAATCCAGCAGACTTTGAGGGTGTGTGTGTGTGTGTGTGTGTGTGTGTGTGTGTGGTTTCCTTTTGGTGGACTGGTGCTGGTATATATGAGGGGAGATGAGCAGGGACCCCAGTGTTTGGGTAAGATGAAGACTGAGTTCCTTCTCTGGAGGGACAGCTCAAGGTGGTCACTAGACCTACCATTGTAGGAGGCCAGCTCCTGGGGTAGAAAATAAAGCAATAATGGAGAGGAAGGAGGGCCACCTGCCTGTCCTCCACCACCACCTCTTAACTGTGTCATTATCCCTATCGCTCTATGAAGCTTCATGGATCAGAACATCCACCACTGCCCAGGGTGCCCAGGTGGCTTAAGGCAGAGCCAGGGCCAATCCAGACCTGGAGGTCTGAGGCTAATGCTCCTCAACCCCACGCTCACCTGCCTGCCTCAGCCTGTTATCTCAGAACAGGGACAACAGCAGTGAAACAGAAGCAGAAAAGACAGGACAGAGATGGGCGCAGCCGCTGTAAAAATCAACCGACCTCCCTTCAAATGGAAATTCTTGCTATTCTTTATTGAACAGAAATGAAGAGGAATCTGTCAAAATGGTCAGTTGACTTGGCTAGTTTTGTGTGAGAAAACTCAGGGGTTCTATTTTCCCTCAAGGTAAGTCTTTGTCCTTCTGAAAATTCAGTTTTTAATCCAGCATCGGTGGTGCATTTGGCAACCCTTCAGCTTAATGCTACATGAGGCTGGACTATCTGTAATAAGACAATGATTAGAAATTATGAATTATCCCAGCTTGTTCAATCTTCTACTGCTAATCGCATTTCCTAGGAAAGAACTTTTGGTCTTAATATTATGTTGTCAATCACAAGTTAGAAGTATGGTTGACATAAGATTTAATTTCAGTGCTTTTTTTCTTTCTGAAGTTCATGGGTAAAAACAATATCCTGCCTCATATGTATTTGATAAACTGTAATGACAACAATATTAGCCAGCACATCATGAGCACCATAAGGCTTATTTTCAATAAATGGTTTCCATGGAAACTACTCATGTATAGCAAAACAAATATTCATTATTCCCACCAGGCACAAGGTTAGATGCCTTACCATCAGCTCCTGTTCCGAATGAAATGCACAAGCAGGGCAAGGGCAGGACCAAAGGAAAGGCTTACGTATTAAACAGGTGTTTATGGACAGGCAACACAGGCTGAATACCTTGAATGAAATGATTGCAAATTCTAAATGCACGCCATTCGGAAACATGTTTGGTCCCAGGAATTTCAGACGAGCTATTTTCAATCTACTGGCGCATCAGGAATAAGAACAGCTTGGTGACAAGTGTACCATGAGCCAGCCAGCCGTCTTAAAGACGATCTTTACCAGCATGCTTCGGGTAGTGCCAAGTTCACCCTCTTAAAGCAGGCAAGCCAGTAGGTTTTTAGAACAATGAATTGTGCAGCTATCATCCCTGCCTAATTTTAGAACATTTTCATCAACCTGAAGAGGGTCTGGACCAATTAGTGGTCATCCCACGCCCCCATCTTACCCACAACAAGCCACGCTCCTGTCTAATATGGACAGCAATCGTGCAGATTGCTGGCCCATTTTACTAAGGAGGAGAGAAAAATGAGAGGCCGTCACTGGGGGAGGGGACTGAGCAGTGTTCCTCTGAAGTGTGTGTTCCCATGCTCATCCCTCTTACCTTGGAGTAGAGCCTAAAATTTAGAAAGAGGGTCTTGACAGATGGAATTAAATCCAATATCTTAAAAAAACGAAATCATTCTGGATCATTCTGGGCCCCAGATCTAGTGACATGCCCTTCTGAGAGACAGAAGGGTTGACACATATACTGGGAGCCAGTGGCTCACACCTATAAATCCCAGCTCCTCAGGAACCTGAGATCTGGAGATGGCAATTTGAAGCCAGCCTGGGCAGCAAAGTCTACAAGATTTCATCTCCAAATGGTAGTGTCCCAGTCCACCAAGCAAGCTGAGAAAGCACTCGAGGCCCTGTGGTCACATCCTGGAGCTGGGGGGAAGGTGACAAAAGAAGGTCAAGTGAGGACAGAGGCTGGAGCTGCAGTGGCGCCTCTATCAGCCAAGCAGAGCCAAGCCTGCGGGCAGCCAGGACACGTGGGATTTTCTGTGGCCCAGTAGAGCTGTGGACTCAATCCTGGGTGATCATCAGGAGTGGCAGGTCAGACTCAGAGCTGGTGGGGACAGGATCGTGACCATTTCATGTCCCCATTGAAGTCCTAGCCTGTCCACAGGAAGAGAGAAGGCAGGAGAGGAACAACGCAGAGTCCTGGCTAGAAACACACAGCTGAAGGTCAGAGGGCAGCCAAGGAGGTGAGTCAGAAAAGGCTGAGAGAGCAGATGGCCATGAGGGCAAAGGTGAGGGACAAGGACAAGTTGGCCTTACTTCCTTTCTATGGTAGGACCCACTGCGCCTTGAGGGGCTGAGGGCCTGCAGTGAGCAGGATAGAGATTTACTCATACCTGCCCACGGGGGTGGGGGGGGGTGGGAGGCACATGATCCTGCTGAGCCTGCGTGTCTGCAATGGGCAGCTCTTAGCACAGGACTGTGGGACCCCGATCCTGTCTAATGGACAGGAAACTCCTCAGTGTGCCGGACCTTCCTGAGGCTTTAGCCCAACTGTCTATGAGTCTTTGGGTCAAGCCAACAATCTGGAAAACACCTAATGGCCCAGGTCAGAGGACACTGGAGTCAAGTGCTGAGGGGTCTGGGAGGATGGCTGTGGAGGACGCCCCTCAGCCCAGGGCCCATCCTTCCTCTGCCCTGGTCCCCTTCCCCCACCCCGCCCCCCAGGGTTGTTGTCTTCCAGTTTCTCAGCTGAGACTTCTGAGTTCTTCAAATGTGTCCATTGGTATTGTTTGTTAAATTCTAAACAGTGATTCTGCACCCGCATGCGGCAGGCATTGTACAGTGACTGCTTGTTCTCATGGATAAATGACAAATGAGTGTTTTCATTATCGTGTGTATCCTGGGTTCCATGGCCTACAACACTGATCAATTCTACCCTTTGAAAAAAGAAATGGATGACTATTTAAACAGTGTAGGGGCAAGAATTAGTCCTGTATCATATTTGCTTTACTCTAAAATTTGGTACAGTAAAAGTCACGTGACACAACTAAAATCTCTGTGGTACTTCCAACAAGACCATCATCTAGGCCCTTATTTGTGTAATAACTGCCTCTCCTCTTGATGCTTTTACTCATTTATTTACTCATTTTTTATTTTGTGGTGCTGGAGATCACCTCCAGGATCTTGTATTTTGTATATTTAGGCAAGAGATCTATCATGAAGCAAAACCCCAGCCCTTGCTATTTTTTGTTTTTTGTCAGTCATGAGGCTTGAACTCTGGGCCTGGGCACTGTCCCTCAGCTCCTCAGTTCAAGGCGAGTGCTCTACCACTTGAGCCACAGCACCACTTCTGGTTTTCTAGTCATTTATTGGAGATAAGAGTCTCATGGACTTTTCTGCCCGGGCTGGTTTTGAACTGCGATCCTCAGATCTTAGCCTCCTGAGTAGCGAGGATGACAGGCATGAGCCACCAGTGCCTGGCTGCCCTTGCTATTTTTATGTGACTGAATTTCTAGGAACACTTTGTGGGACCCCTCCCATCCGAGTCTAGGAGCATCCACTTCTGTCAAGTGTGGGAAACATTCCAGATCCCGAAGCCCTTACCCCAGGGCAGGTGGGGGCAGGGTGGCGAACTCAGGGAAGGCCCAGTTCAAGGCTGTCTGAGCCCTGGGAGGTCCCAAGAGTTTCAGCCTAGTTCAGAACCTGCAATGATGGGAAAACGCAGGCTCACTTGGAGCAGGAGCCACAAGTCTCCTTATGCTGATGCACAAGGAGCAGCGGGGACCAGGGAAAGGTGTGGTGTGTGCCTGTGTGCTGTGTGCTGTGCTGTTGTATTGTGTGTATAAATGATTTGTGCTGTGTGTGGAAAGACCGTCATGTCATGTGCCTGTATGTTACATCGTATGTATAGTGTATTATTTGTGGTGTGTGCCTGTGTGTTGTGTGCTGTGCTGTTACATTGTGTGTATAAATGATTTGTGCTGTGTGTGGAAAGACTGTCATGTCATGTGCCTGTATGTTACATCATATGTATAGTGTATTATTTGTGGTGTGTGCCTGTGTGCTGTGTGCTGTGCTATTGTATTGTGTATATAAATGATTTGTGCTGTGTGTGGAAAGACCGTCATGTCATGTGCCTGTATGTTACATCGTATGTATAGTGTATTATTTGTGGTGTGTGCCTGTGCTGTGCTATTGTATTGTGTATATAAATGATTTGTGCTGTGTGTGGAAAGACCGTCATGTCATGTGCCTGTATGTTACATCGTATGTATAGTGTATTATTTGTGGTGTGTGCCTGTGTGTTGTGTGCTGTGCTGTTACATTGTGTATATAAATGATTTGTGCTGTGTGTGGAAAGACTGTCATGTCATGTGCCTGTGTGTTACATCGTATGTATAGTGTATTATATGTGTAGTGTGTGCCTGTGTGTTTTGTGCTGTGCTGTTGTATTGTGTATATAAATGATTTGTGCTGTGTGTGGAAAGACCGTCATGTCATGTGCCTGTATGTTACATTGTATGTATATTGTATTATTAATGGTATGTGTGTATAGAGAGGCTGCATGTGTTATTACATGCCTTTGTGTTGTTGTGTTGCGCTATGCTGTGTGTATTACATCCTGTGCTGTGTGTGGAGAGGCTGTGTCTTATTGTGTGTGCCTGTATGCCATCTGGTGTGTATACTATACTAGGTGTGATATGTGTGAGAGGCTGTGTGTTGTGTTGTGCTGTGCTGTGTGGATTACATCCTTTGTGTTGTACAGAGAGGCTGTGTGGTGCCATCGTATGCACGGATACTGTGGCATGTGTGTTGTGTGTGTGTCCGGTCCCCAATCTCCCAGGATGTCACAGTTGCCACTGACAACACTGCAACCCCGCCTGTAAACTCAGGCTGTCCATTCACCCGTCCTCCCTCAACCCTCCCGCAGACCCCAGTCTGGTGCAGTGGGCCCAAGCCCCCCAGGATGTGAAAGATAAGCTGTTAGTGCACCAACTCGATAAATAAACCCAGTAAAAAGGCTGAGGCAGCTGGAAATTCATCAGACAAATGGTCTTCCTGGAGAGCTCAGAAGAGCCGAGTGATGGCTACCAACTGTGATTTGGGAGGAAGGGCTGGAGGGAGCCGGGGCTGCCTGCGCAGCCACAGAAGGTCTTTCCTTCTTTTACTTCTTGCATTTGCACATAGCGTTGCCGCCGACCCCTGCTGACCCCTGCCCACCCACACCTATGATCAACTGACCTTGGTCAATGTTACATTAATTCATTTATTTATTTTGCTTTCTAATGAAAGGAGGTCTACCCTTTTAGGTTTTTATTAAGCCAACAGCTCCGAAGTTAATACTTAATGTCCTGTCTTTTATCACTGGGAATTATTAAGCATCAGAGCTACAGAAGTGAAAAGTGACTCACAAATGTTTGAATGCTGGAGCTCAGCTAGTTCAGTCCTTGTTAGCCCCCAAGGCCTGGGAATGGCGCTCCGGAGGAGCTGAGGGGCAGGGTTTAAGATCCTGGGTTAGCCGCGCGGTTGTGAGCACCCACACGAGCGTCCTCCCTGTTGCCCAGGTGGAGGTGCTCTGCGACCCCAGCATGCTTAGTGCTGCGGAGAGAGTGGGAAAGACAGAGCTGGGTGGGTGTGAGCTGGAGACCAGAGCTGCCGTGGCCATGGCCACTTACCTGAGACCAGAGCAGATGCTGAGGCTGACTGTGGAATCAGCGTCGCCTTGCACGTGTCCGTGGTAGTAACAGTGGCCCTGCAGTAGAGGGGAAAGGGTTCGGTGATCACAGGCCCGCCACTGCAAGAAGCTACCTGCCTCCCATCCGCCATCCTCTCCCCTTTCTCTCTCTCTCTCTCTCTCTCGTTCTCTCTCTCGCTCCATATATGTATGTATACATTATGTATATACATACATACATACATACATATATATATATATACATATATATATATTTCTGTACTGGGCTTGAAGTCAGGGCCTGAGCACTGTCCCTGAGCTTTTTTTCATGCAAGTCTAGGGCTCTACCACGTTAGCCACAGCTCCATATTTGCCTCCCCCTCACCTGGTTAATTGGAGACGAGAGTCTCATGGACTTTCCTGCTAGGGCTGGTTTTGAACCATGATTGTCAGATCTCAGCTTCCTGAGTATCTAGGAGTACAGGCGTGAGTCACCAGTGCCCAGGTGCAGTCTTAATGTCTTAATCTTTAATGCTAAACGTAAGGTGAGCTGTCAGGATCTATGGCTGGAGCGTCTGAGATTATCAATAGGGCTTTGAAATGCATCTGTTTTATCGCTGCCTCTCTGACCCTTCCCGACCCCAGGAAAGTACTAGTGCTGAGTGCTGCACAAAATCCACCCACAGAACAAATCACGTGGCTGTCGACATTCATCCCTGTATGAATTGTCTTTGGTAATGAGACAAGGCGCAGCATGGGGTATTTAAGCACACTGTAAAACAGAACAGAACAAGGCCTAAATCTATGGCCTATGGAAACGGAACAACAGCTGAGAGGAAGGGGGTAAAGGAAGAGGGGACCTGGCTGAACAAGTCTGTCTCAGCAGGAAGGCAGAGCAAGAAGGTTCTAAGTCTGAGACAAAATTTCCTGTGGGGCATGCCTGCACCAATCTGTTCTTTAATGATGTTCTCTAAGAAACCACAGAGCCTGGCACTTTCTTAGTGGAGATAGATATCCATCCAGACTTGAAGGTTCATTTTACTGCTGAACGAATCCTCTTCTGCAGCCCCAATTAAGTGCCCGGCCAACAAGTGTCGGCTGGCACATGCTCAGGAGTCTCCACTCTAGTCCTGCGGGGTGGGGGAGTGGGAGGGGCTGCTATGCTGAGGGAAAAGAAGACCCCTGCTCTGCTGTGCCCATCCGTGACTGGCCGCTGCACTTGCGGGTATAGCAATTCACTAAGACTACCTTTCTGGGCCAAAGGAACGGATGGGTTGGAATGATGGACACTGGATAATGGCGAGAGAAAGGAGGGAAGATGCTGCTGCTGTCACACTGTGTAGAAGGGCATTCTGGGATCATCTCTAAGGAAAGGGAGATAGGAAGACTGTCCGGTTGTGGGGCCTGAACTCTGGGCCTGGGCGCTGTCCCTCAGCTCTTCAGCTCAAGGCTAGCGCTCTACCACTTGAACCACAGCGCCACTTCCGGCTTTTTTTTCTTTTTGCTTATGTGGTGCTGAGGAATCAAACCCAGGGCCTCAGGCATGCAAGGCAAGCGCTCTACCACTGAGCCACCTTCCCAGCCCCAGACTTGCTGTTTTGTTGGACTTTCTCTTGCAGATTTCAGAAGCTCTTTATACATATATACACACACATGCACACATACATATACTATATACAGGATATTAATATTTTATCTAATTATTATGCATCAATTGTCATTTAACTGTTTGGAAATCCTTTGTTAGTGTTTCTGGTTTTCATAAATTTATCTTTCTTTTCCTGAATTTTGCAGGTTGCTTAAGGTAGTTTTCTTTCAGGTCATAGTTATGTGCCTTAATTTTTTTTTCTTTTTGGTTGTATTGGGATTTGAACTTGAATTTGTTAGGCTGTTTAATAATGGAGCATACCACTAGTGCTTTTAGTTGTAGTTGGTTTTCAGGTAGGATCTTGTACTTTTCCCTGGGTCTGCCTAGACTCTGATCCTCCTACTTCTATTTCTCATGCTGCTGGGATCACAGTCATGTACCTATTTTCGATTTGGATAGTCTTGCAATTAGCTCTATGTGGAAGTTAATATCTGTAACTGTGGGATTGGAATCCTACCTTCTTGTACAAACTTAGCCAGTGATATTCATTGCCTTTTGTCCTTTCTTTACTGATTTGGGGGTACTTATGGCTCCACCTGTGTATTCTCTAGTCAATCCTAAATTTTCAGTCCCTGTGTTAATGCCACTTTTAAGTGACAGTTGTTCTATATTGTGTTGTGGTATGTAACAGAGCAAGTTCTCTTTTAAAATTAAGACTGAATTCCCATACCACAGATGTCATCATTTTAAAGCTTTCAATGCTAGTGTTTTATGGTCTACAGTTTATATACCTGATTTCCTCCATCACTCCATTCAATAAGAATGTACAACAGTCACCATTCTCTAATTCCAAAACATTTTTATAGGTCCCCAAAGAAGTGTAGAATCCCTCATACCCCTCCCCCTGGCAAATTTCCCTTCTATTCAATGAATTCTCTTGCACTGCTCATGTCATACAAAGGGAATCACACAGTATATGGCCATGTGTCTGGCTTCCTCCATTCAGCATAACTTACTCATGTGATAGCACGTATCAGCTCTTCATTCCTTTTCATTGATGAACAACATTTTCATTATTTTCCAGACAGGGTCTTATATATTTGCCTGGACCAGCCTGGACTGCAATCCTCCTGTTTATACTTTGGCATGTCTTAAGAGGATAGTTTTGGATCACTGTGCCCAGCTTTGTACTGACTGAGATGATGTCTTGTGAACTTTTGTGACCCGTGGCCTTGAATCTCGATTCTCCCAATTTCAGCATCCCAAGTAGATACAGGATTACAGAGGTGAGCCACCATGCATGGCTTATGTAGGACATTTTACTATAAAGGAAAACGTTTGGTGTTGAAAGTTTATATCAGACACCCTGCTGCTATCAGTGTAACAGGATTTTCTATGCTACCAAGCCTGCCGCTCATGAACAACAGAAGTCCCGTGGGCTCCTTTCTGCATTGCAGAGCAGGAAGGCTGTGTCCAGCAGGGCTCAGGGTAGGAGAAGGACTCACCTGAGAGGAAAGCGGGCATAAGGGCAGTGCTAAGGGGGTGGGGGCAGTCCAGGGTTGAAGCTCAGTCCTGCCTTGCTGGTGGACTGAGGCCCAGGAGTATGGCACTCACGGTACCCTGCTTCTTCCACTGAGGCCGTATGTGGCTTTGAAAAGGGCACGTGGGAGGACTGGGTGGAGTGGAGGTGCTCTGCTGGCCACATCAGACACCCACCAGCCACACAAGGCGCCACACAAGGCATCACACGCAGCATCGGTGGGAAGTGGATGCTGGATGGCTTCCCAGTCCCCTCTCTCCAGGTAACTCTCAGGGGAATCGTGATGATGTTTCTGTGTAATGGACTGCAATGCTCAATGCATCAGGAGCCCGGCTCTGGTCATGGTATGGGGGGGGGTTCAGCCCAGGCACACAGAGGCATGGTGCAGCCCAGGTGGAAATGGACACTGGTGCCCTTTGGGTTTCAGCCTGCCTGGAGTAACCTGAATCACTAGGAGTTGACTGCTACAGATTTTGGGGGTTCATCTTAAAAGTCCCTTCCTGTTTTAGAGAAATGTTGAAATGCTACCAAAGGTAAATACTGGCTAAATACTGGTTAGAAACACTGGAAATTAATTGGATACTAATTTATTTTCAGTTAAATACTGGTTTAAAAAATCATCCAGCTGAATACGGGTTAATAAATTAAAAACTAAGTAGTGACAACAATCTTAATTACTTACAGTGGAAATTTCAGACTCATTTATTCTCTATCCCTATTCATTTTTTTAACAGATTATTTATCAAATGGACTTTCAAATTAAATACGCAGAAATATAGGCTCATTAAAGCATGAGCTGAGAACAAATTAGTAGCAAATGAATTTCCAGTTCAACAGCTTGGTTGAAGTATTGCTTATGAAGTGGGGGAGAGCATAGCTTAGCTCCCCAACGCTGTTCCCAAAAGTAAGCCGCTTTGCAGCTCTCCTCCCCCATCCTGGGACTTGAGGGCCTGCTCCTCAGCTCAGACACTACCCTGGCCTCGACAGGTGACTGACAAGCAGGCCTGACTTATATATTACCAATCTCAATGACTAGCACTCTTCATGGAAGATTCCCAGGATGATTCCAATGTCACATAATTTAATTTCTCAACTCGAGAGTCACCAAGTGTGTGAAGGACTGTGTTTTAGTTTCTGTAATGAAGGGATCTGTTGGGATGGACTGCTTCAGAAACACCTGGTTGTATACTGATTGACTAATGGATGGCAGCAGCAGGGGAGAATGGCCGTGGTGGCCCTCCTCAGAACAACTCAGACTTTAACCAAATGAATACTAGGAAACTGATGAGGCCAAGAAGAAGGAGGGCGGCTAAGTGGGGAGGGGAGGGGTGGGTGGGGAGGAAACGGATGGGTGGATACAGTCACACTGCTCAATGGGCACAGGTAACAATGGAGCTCCTTCGTACAACTACTTAAAGATGATAAAAAATTACACTGCGAGAAGAGAAAGAAAAAGTTGCTTGGTCATTTTGTGCACTACGTGGCTGGCTGTGCAACTTGATTGTGGAGCTTCCGAAACCTCTCTTCGGACTGCTGTGGGGAAGGCGGGAGACAGGGTCTTGCAGATTGTGCCTCAACCCATGTCTGGCAGTGCTTGCTCAGGTGTTCAGGCCAGTGGTCTCTGGGCAGATACTGAGCATCTGCCCAGAGACCATGTGGCCCCAGGGACCACAGACAACAGATGTGGCAGAGAAGGTCACCCCGCAGCCCACAGCCCCCTGGGTCTGCTCATCACTAGAGTGAATCCAGGGAGGCCATAGCCACTGCCCTCTATACACACGTTCCCAAACTGCAGTCTCCTCTCTCTGGTAACCCAACCATGCTGATATCTTCCAAAGGCCTCCAACTGAACAGTCTTAAGCTGTTTTAAGTCTCTTAAGCTGTCACCCAATAAGATGTCTATCTTCCTGGGATGGTCAACATTCCTCGTTCTGCTGATCTAATACATTC